GAGCATAACTCGAGAACTATAAACGTCAGACGAGCCAAATTTGGTATGTAGGTTCCTTAGTTGTATTTACAGTTAAGGAACATTTCACTTTTTGGCTAGCTCCCGAAATTCCCCCTCAAAACGGGAAAAGCTCGAGGACTTTCAAGCGCTAGATGCACAGCATGCTCTTTGCTCTTTGCCTGTCAAGCTAATTAAGGCACAATCTTAGCATAGTCTAAGCACAGGGTATCTCTTGGTTCAACTGCTAGCTTAAATGCTTGGGACTTGTGCTCATAATTACAGGGTATTTTTGAGCTTTTAATGAGTGTCGCTGCCTTTGACAGCCAATTTCAGCCGCGTTAACTGTCTGTAGACACACATGTTTCTTCCTCTTCCCCTCCCTCTTTCTCTCTGCCTCTCTCCTTATGCTGTCTATATGCTTGGCCGTCTGTTGACTTTCCTGTCGCACTGTTGCCCCGTGCAAATTTGCCTGAATTATTGAACATTTCGCGCGCGCTCTTTTCCGGAAAAAAACAACGCAGACAAAACAAACTGAGCTCCATTTTCACACATTTTCAACGCGTTTCCCGCGGGCCCCGTTTGCCCTCGAGTAGTCGCTGGAATATACTTTTATTTGTTCTTGTTGTTTTTTTTTTTTTATGCCACCCGCCATTTAATTAAAGAGCTTGCAAAATGTTTATCGCATCAAATGATTTTTGCCAACGATTTGTTAATTGAAAATCAAATGTTGAATGCCAACAAAACGGGGCAGCAGAAGAGTTAAGTTTAAGGGGTATCGAAGGGGATTTAAAAGGTAGATTTGCTCGACTAGGAGATGCCCTGCACTGTGCTTCTTTTGCTCTTAAGCCTAGCCTTTCCCGAATAGCTTCGGCGCTTGAAGTCCGATTTTTCGGGCATATTATAACAAGAGGAGAAGAGGGTTTATTTTCTATAAAAAATATTTATGAGTTATATTTTCTATAAAGCATCAAGCACAAATAGAACAGATCTCTGTGTAGTTCTAGGTAATAACTTTTGCTGAATATTTTCCACTGAAAGCTTCAAGTTCTTAAACAGGAACTCGAGTTGTGGGCACGGCGCCAGGAAATGCCGAGTTTTGCCCGCAAATAAACCAAAGCTTTGGCACTGAAATGCATAAATTAAAGTCGAGGCCAAGAGATATGTGAGAGCGGGCAAAGGGGTGACAGGAGGGTGGGGAGGAGTGTCTCAAAGGGGAGCGGGGGGGAGCTCTGTAATGTGGTTTATGGTTTTTGTTGGAGTTCGAGCTGAAATTTGCATAAGGCTTGACAATAATAATAAAAATCGATACTCGTTAAAAGGCAAGGGGCGTGGCAGGAGGGGAATGCAGACCCCCCCCCCCCCCCTGGAACTCTCCCCTCTGGTACTCATAAAAGACATTTGCATTGAGCAAAGCTTGCGAAGAAAAAAATGGAAATTGAAAAATGATGAATGAAATTGAAATGAGCAGCGTCCATAAATGTCGCCGGCAAAATTGATGTCTGTGAAAAAAGGCTGAAAAATTCAAATGGCAGCAGAAGGCGAGCCACAAAAAAAAAAAAAAAATTAAATTCCCATTTGCCGACAAATATGAGCCATGCCCATGGCATAAAGTGTGCAAAATGGACTCCAAATAGACTTTGCATCTATTTATAATAAATAAAAAAATAATATAAATACAAATTGTTGCTAGCTTTAGTTTAGCAGGCACTTGAACTGCATGTTAAATATTTGCCAGGAGGATTAAAGTGCAGTGTGAACGCATTTTAAAGTATTTTATGGTATTTTTTAGCTTGCTTTAGCTTTACGGGCTCTAGAAGTGCATGTTAAATATTTGCCAGGAGGATTAAAGTGCAGTGTGAATGCATTTTATGTTATTTTGCAGAATCTGCGAATACCCTAAAATGTGCTGCCTGCAAATAAAGCTGGCTGTTAACTGACATGCACTTTGTAGGCGATCCGACGGTGCCCGACCAGGGACATTTGACTATTAATATCGAGCGCAACTGTACTGCCTGGGGGTCATATGAACACACAAAAATAAAACGAACTTCAAATTGTTTCTAGCTGAACGCTTGATTAACATGTAAATGATTGATGACTCGACTAGTTAAGAGAAAAAAAACCGAAATTCAATTAAGTGAAATGCGAATATGGCCAAAAGAGAGGGAAAGAGAGGGAGAGGGAGGGAGAGTACAGCAACAACAAGGCAACATTCGGTCTTAGCAAATGGCCAAGTTGGCTTCTGCTTTTGGCCTTTTGGCATTTAAACGCGTTTGGCTTTCTTCTGCTTTCGGCCTGCCCGCCTGTTCGCCTGTCTGATTGGCACTCAAATGTCAGTTAGGATTTCGTGTGGCTGTTGCCGTTGCTGAATTTATACCTCTTATCGCAATTACAGGGTATGCTGGTGCATTTGCTCGAGATTATATAAATCGAGAATATTCGATAAATATCGATAGGCAGCCTGAGCGTTTCGCATATAAATCGAAGCTTAGATCATTTAAAATTGTTCAATTGCTTCGCTCTTTGGCTTAAAATCGATAAATATCGATATTAAGTCTTGGATTTTCCAGCATAAATCGAAGTTTAGAAAATGTATGTTTGAAACCGATAAATATCGATATTATGCATACATTTCGATATAACTCGATATTTAGCCTGGGCTTTTTGAGCATAAGTCGGAGCTTAGAAAATTCATGATTGAAATCGATAATTATCGGTATTTAGCTCAGGCGTTTCGATCGATATATCTCAACAACTCGCTTAATCGATAAATATCGTTAATCAGCCTAAAATGTAAATGCCATATTCGGCTAAGAAAAAAAAATAGCGAAAGCTCGGAAGTGAAAGCACATTTGCTGCCAACGTTTACTACAGGGTATCGCCGCGTCGAGCACTTTAAGTTGTCGCATGCAAATTGTTATGGACTGTTATTTTAGCCCGGCCAAAACTAATTAAGCCAATGCTCAGAGCCGAATTGGACTTTGATGAACTGTTCGCATGTGCGAGGTCGTCGGGAGGGAGGGAGGGAGGGGGGGCCAAACGCAATACGAGACGCATTTGCATAACAATTGGGGGGAAGAGGTGAGAGGAGGGTTGGCGGCTTGTTGCAGCGAGTTGCTGTTGCAGTTGCATTAATCTTAATTAATGCCATGTTGCAGTTGCACTTGCCGCATATTCCAGGTGCGTAGGAACGGGGGGGGGGAGGGTGCAAGGTTGGGTAAGGTGTGGAAGGGGAGACATTTTAATTAAGCGCCAGCTTTGGCAACTTGCAAGGATTCGATTTGGCTGCAAGTCGAAAGCGGTTTACTAATGAGAGACGGCCGCGGCGAGAGGAGGGAATGGAGCGGGGAGGCGGGGGGGGAGAGCATCTAAAGAGGGGGCAAGCGCATCTTAGCCCAGTTTTAAAGAAGAAGAAAACTCAGCTGCTGCTGCCTCGACCCAAATGTCAACGAAATGGCGCTGGGAAACGAAGCGCATGGCCCCAATTTCGGAGGCTGTTGCCGATTAGCTCCAGGCAAATGTTTGCCCAAAGCACACACGACTAGCAGATACCCTGTAAGCAGTTGAAAGCTCCGCAAGTGATGTAAAGTCCTTAACGCCTGATCTGTATACCCTGTGCACAAGTTAAAGGCGAGCATATTCATTGAAATGTGCAAATATTTCAGAAAATGTAAACTGAGAGCGGCAAATGAGACAAAACCAGCGGAACGAAATGGAATGGAATGAAGCAAAACGAAATGGGAACAAAGCGCATTGCAGAAACTTCTCTTTTTCCCTCTCTCTCTCTCTCTCTCTCTCTCTCATCTTATCCTCTACATATAACAGAAGTTGTTTGAGACAAACGCAGCGGAACGAAATGAAAATGTTTTTAAGACAAATCCATGGAAACGGAATGGAATGGAACGACACAAAATGGAATGGGAGAAAACGAAATGGAATGAATCGAAACGAAATGGCAACAAAACGCATACAGAAACTTTTCTCTTTCTCCTTGTGTCTCCCTCCCTCTCCTTCTCCCCCCTCTCTCTCTCTCTCCCGCTCTCTCTCTTTCTCGCTCAGCCACTGGCAAATTTGTTGCCTCAGCGGAATGCGATAAAGTTTTTAATTACAAGAGAGGGCGACACACATTTTTGCAACCATTAAAAACTTGCTGACACAACACAGAGACACACCAACACCCTCCTCCCCGCCCCTCTCCCACAGGCAAACTTTCCCTCCCCCAACCAAGCAGATAAACAGAGACCTTTTCGGCCAAAATTGTTGTTCTTCCAGTTTCAATTAACTGAAACAATTTTATATGACACCATAAAATATGCGCGAAATGGCAGCGAAAAGTAGCAGCACACTGAATTCTAGCTAAAAGTTGATAATATATACCCTGTAAAATATCCTACTTAAAGCTCTTGGATTTTAAATGCAGCCAAGGAACCCAAGGAACTCAGCTGTCAAACTTCGTAGAAAGTTATAAGCTATGGTTTTTTCTAAATCCAGGAAGTTTCGTATATGTTTTATCTTTGATTCTTGAGGTTATGAACCCAACGAATTGAAAGATCTAAGAACTAGCTATAGAATAATAGAATAGAATAAAATTCTATCTTAACTCTTAACTTAATGGACCCCAGGAACTCGGAGATCGTGAAATCGGAACAGTTTTATCATAAATATCTGAGATATAATCATGATGGACTCAAGGAACTCGGGGACTGTAAGAGCTTGAGTTGGAATATTTGGTATGTGAGCTCTTATAAAGGAGATAATTGATAATATTGTGTAATTAGAATAGTTTTACCTACTGCAACCCAGATATAATCATAATGGCCTCAAGTAACTCGAGAACTGTCAGAGCTAGGTTGCTCCAATTGAGGCAATGGACTGCTTGAGGCAATGCAATTAAAAAAACATGACGAGGCATAAGAATATGTTGTTGCAAATGATCGAGTAAACATGGGATGCCTTGCGAATACATTGAGATCGTTTAGCTAATGTCTAGCCAGGTGATTTTAGTCAGAACATTTGTATATGGCATTTGGTTAAAATTAGTTGCTTTCGTTTTTCAAATTCACGTTATTTAGACATCAACAATGCTTGCATGAGCGTGGCGTCTCCTCTTTCTGTTTGCAGACGAAATTCAAAGGAAACGGAGTAAAGTACACACACACACACACACACACACGCATTTATCGTGAGGGTTAACAATTGGCGAGCAGGATGTGCGACGTGCAGCAGCTGCTCTGCGATCTGGGGCAGACGTTCAACAAATTCAAGGAGCTGCGACGCATCGAGCTGCTCAAGGTGCTCGGCCAGGTGCGTTGCTGTGAATGCGGCCACAGGCAGCGCATGCTGAGGGCTCGCGAACGGGCCGGCAAATGGCCGTCGCGCACACTTCAATTGCTTACCGCCTGCTTTATCCTCATGTTAGCGTTGCTCATCTGCTGGCTACACTTGGCGCGCAGATTCAATCATGCCCAAACGCACGGCAGCGGCGGCTGTCCCCCAACCTTATTCTATACCTACACCGACTGCGATGTCTATGTTTAGCATTCGCTCATTTCCGGTTAATTAGAATCGATTTATTGAACAGCCGCAAATCCTGACGCCAAGCTTCCAGCTAAAGAAACTCTCCATTTCAGTTTTCCACATTTTGGTATGTAACTTCTATTTTTTATGCATCGAAAAGTTATATTTGAAAATAATCCCAACCTGTTCTTTATTTTAGGTCAGCCCGCAAGAAGCTCTGAATGATTGTCAGCTTTTAGATTGTTTTATCATATAAATTAAAAAGTTTTTATTTATCTATAAAAGTTGATTTTCTTTTGCTAAGAACTTATTGGCACTCGGTATCTATCAGACTTCGATTTCACAAATTCTTTGTCAAAGTTCCCTAAAGAATATCAAGTTTTATCCCGCTCTGTACCCAAGAAACTCGGGATCTGTCAGGCTAAGAGTTGCCAAATTTGGTATACAAATTCTACAACAAATATTAGAGATTCCAAAAGAATATCAAGTTTTACCCCCCTCCATAGCCAAGGAACTCGGGATCTGTCGAGCCCAAAGCTGTCAAATATGATATATAGCTTATTCTACAAGAACTAAATGAAGTCTCTTCGAGAATATCTAGTTTTTTCTCTCTCTGTACCCAAGGAACTCGGGATCTATCAGGCATATAGCTGCCAAATTTGGTACACAGCTTCTTCTAAAAGAACTACGTGATGCCTGCTAAGGAATATCAGGCTCCGCCCATCTGTACCTCAGGAACTCGGGATCTATCAGACTTAGAATAAACCTTAACCTGCTTAGAGTAAACCAATATAATCTATTTGCATATTTACCAACTTCTAATCTCAACTCCTATAAAATCGAATAAAAATGCAAAAATATATAATTTCTGTTAATTTTAAAAGCTGCTTGTCAAATGAGCACAACAGAGGGCGCCAGCTAATGGCTACCAAGAAAAAAAAAAAAGAAAAAAGAAGAAAATCTTTCTAAAACCTGCAAAAACAAATTCCTTTTCAATTCACTAAACAGCAACAAAAACAAAAGCAACAAAAAAAAAGTAGGCGATGCTTAACGCAAATTGCACAAACACACAAAAAATGTTTGTGCAACAGAGTAACAACACGCCCCCCTCTCCTCTTCCCATCTCCCCCTACCCCACTCCATTAAGGCTAAAATCAACATTTGCTAAATAAGAAAAAAAAGCTGCTAAAAAAAGTAAAAGAAATGAGAAACAAAATCAACAAATGCGCAGCACAAACTAAACCAGAGCAAGAGGGGCGCGTAGAGAGGGGGCGGTGGGTGTGCCAATGGGCGGCAGCCACGCCCATAAGCACAGCTTGTCGTTGGCGTTGCGTTTAGTTTTTCGCTGAATAGTTTTTCAATTTTTCTTCTTTTTTTTTTTTTTGCCACATTTTTTTTTCTGCCCTTCCCCGATTTTATTTTATGAATGGCCGCAAAACGCGGCTCAGTTCCGTGTGGGCGTGGCAGTGAGTAGGGGCGGTGCGGGGCGGGTCGTGGGTCTGTGCTCGTTATGAAGGCGGCTACCGACACTTGAAAGTGTTGCCAGGTTGTTGTTGTTGTTGTTGTTGCTTCTTTAACAAGAAACAACAAACAAGAGCAACAAAGGCGACAGCCGTGCGACATTAATTGAAGTTTGTTGAACCAAAAAGCTGTTTGCTTGGCCCCCATTCTAAATGAACTAGCCCTCCCACTGTCTCGCCCCCCTCTCTCTCTCCCTCTCTCTCTCTCTCTGGTAAGTAGCATCTTCTGGCAAAGCAGGAAGAAGAAGCTGCCTCATGTCACACGGTTCAACTTCGAGAGCTCTTCAATCAGCGCCTACAAAGTAAAGTATCTGACTGATTGGTTAAATGACTGATCGCCTGACTGACTGATTGATCGACTGATTGACTGGCTATTTGACTAACTAAGTGATTGGTTAACGGCAGGATTGATGGACTGATTGATTAGATGAGTGATTGACTAACTGATCGGGTATCTGATTGACTGACTGGTAGACTGGTAGAAAGATAGACCACTGATTGAAAGAGATCATGATTGATTAATTGATTTGGAATGACCGATTGGCTGACTGATTGACTGGCAAGCTGGCCGATTGATTGAGTGAGTGCTAGACTTGCTGACGATTTGGCTAACTAACTGATTGGTTAACGGACGGACTGATTGACTGATTGGTTAAATAACTGATTGACTAACTGACTGACTATAAGATAGTCTGGCTGACTGATTGGTTAACTGATTGGATATCTGATTGACTGACTGGTAAAAAGACTCACCGATTGAAAGACTTCATGAATGAATGATCGATTATCAGATTTGAAATGATCGATTGACGACTAGCTGGCCGATTGATTGAGTGCTCACCAGGCTGATTGATTGACTAACAAACAGATTGACTGACTGATTGCTCGCTAGACAGCTAAATTGTTCACATTAGCAAACTTTACTCTTGGGAAAATTTATTTTTCGTACGATCTTTGTGAAAATTCTTTGCAGACATATTTTTCACATTGCGGAAAATTGCCTAACTGACAAATATGTGATTTAGCGTGAATATCTTGCAAAATTTATTACGTTTCTGGTTAAATTTTTTGCTGTTGTTTTTTTCGTGTGAGATTTTCTTTGGGCATTTTCACAGATTTCCTAGAGTTTTCCTTTTGGTGCGCCGCATTCGTGAGGCAAATAATTGGGTGTACAACTGAATCGACCCTATGTAGCTAGACTACAATGAAATGGGCGCGACACTCGCTCTCATGATTAAAACTGCCGACTGTCGACTCTCGTCTGTTGTCATTCCCTGCTTCCCATTAGTACTGCCTTTGTGTGTGCGTTTTTCAGTTGTTTTTTCCTGTGTTGCGCATTGTCGCATTTGCAATTCGGTGATGCAATTCGACGGCAACAGCATCGGCTGAAGAAATAGCCAGGGCGTTTCTCACTTCATTTTTTTTGTTCGAAAGTAAATTAACAGCCTCTGCATACCCTGTAAAAATGGCTGGAGAGGTATCTTTAACTTGCAATCTTGAAGAGGGACCATCAAACAATACAATAGAGAGCCTAACTCTTGAAATATGGCATACCCAAACTGGGAACATGCGCATAGGGCCCCTCATACCCTGTAAAAGCGGTAAAAGGGGTATCTTACAATAGTGATAGTCAGCAGAGAGCCAGCAGGAGGCCACCAATCAACACATCCGGGAGCTTGAAGCATGAAGCTGCGTACAGCGTATCGCATACCCTGTAAAAATGCTTAAAGGGATATCTTACAATTGAAACAGCCAACAGAAAGTCAGAACTGGGCCATCAATCAATACAATAGAGAGCTTAGCTCTTGCAATATGGCATATCCAAGCTGGGCGCAGCGCCCAGGGTATCTCATAGTCGGGCATGCACGACGCTGGCCACTTCATTTGCTTAATAACAGCCAAATTGAAAGGGCGCACAGTCGCTGTCAGTGCAAAGGAAATGCCAGGGTCTTTGCCTTGCTCAACAATCCTTTGGCCACATTTCGAGGCGCCAAAAACCAGGTTCAATGCGCCCAAAATAAAAATAAAGAAGAGCAAGACAAACAAGAAGAAGAAGAAGATGTGGAACGGTCTTCTTCTATATGCTTTTGCTGCCACTCGCATAAACTTGTCAAAGTTGCTGCGCAGACATTCAGTATTTTCCCCGGCCCGTTGCACATTGTGTCTACCCCTGCAACCCCCCCCCCCCTCCTTTTCCACCACCATCACCAACCTTCTCCCCCCTCTTCTGCTTCGGTCTTCTTCTTGGACGACATCTTCAACTTTACGATTGTTCGTTGTCTGCTTTTGGGACTTTTTGTGGCAGCCATTAAAATTCAGATTGGCGCACGAACTTTTTAATACCTCTTGATTTTAGTGGGCACTTTCAGTATTTTTTGGTATTTTTACTTTGTAGTAAATACCACAAGAAACTCTTCAGTTTTTGCTGCTATGTAATCCATTTTATAGGAGGCGAAATGTTTGCCTACAAAATATCTATATAAATACAAAATTTTGGTAAAAAGCTTTGTTTAACATTTACAGAGCTCTATAGAAAAGTCGCTCGAGGACAAGCTTGCGGACATGTCCTGCAGTGTGTCCTGCCAGACAACAGGCATGACAGGTCATCGAGCGAGTCTTGCAGAGCTTTTATGTGAATGTCTTCTAATGACAAACCAAGTCTGTTGAGTTTCCTTGAGTGAAACACAGAACAGCTCAACTGTTGTGTAACTGCTCCAGCATACCGCACACTTGACAAATTGCAGGGTATAGCATCTAAGTGTATTGGAGCTTGCATTTGCCAAATTGACTTTTGGGGTTTTTGCTATTTTAGCTGACTTTAGCCGCTTATCTCGCATTTGACAGCTGCTCCGCCGGTTGGCAGCCACTTTGCGTCATTTTCTGAACGGACTTTTGGCAGCCGGCAACTGTATTAAAGTGTGGCAACTCTGCAGCTTGATGTTGGGCAACTCTGCAAACTTATTTTCGCAAAACAACAATTCAATTAAAGTTAAAACTTAATTATAATATGCTAATCCTGCCAAAGCATGATAATGTGGCCTGACACTGCCAGAGTTGCCACGGCTTGCATAGATCTAACAACTCTGCAAGTAAATTTATTTAACTATTTTTCATTTAAAAAAAACATATATTTATCTATAATGCATTTATTTAAATGCTCTTGTTTTTTATTTAATGTGAATTTGGCTAAGCGCTGTCAGAGTTGCCACTGTTTGCATACATCTGGCAACTCTTTAAGAAAATGTACTTGTTTCTATTTCAGAACAAGAAAACTAAAACACTTTTGGCTTATTTAATTTTAATTTCCAGCCGTTTTTAGCTTATTTCTCAAAGAATAATTTGCCAGAGTTGCCACTTGCTAGTTTAAACATTGACACTTGGCAGCTCTGCAGTAAAAACCAAGTTCTTTAGGATTGAAATATATTTTAAAGTTTTCAGCGTTGCCAGAACCGGTCAGGGTTGCCACTGCTTTTTTCTAGGCTTTTTCTTGTGTCACTGCGAATTTCGCCTGACGCTGCCAGAGTTGCCGCTGCGTCAATTTGGCAGCGCTGCACGCAAATTATGTTTACGCCTGCCTTAAAGAAAAACCGAAGGGGTTTTAAATTTCTTGAATTTTAATCTCAACGTTTAATTTAGCTGCCGCTGCTAGAGTTGCCTTGTGCTTGTGCTACAGGCGCGCAAATATTTGCGCAAACAATGCCAAGTTTCGTCCACTGAACACAAACAAAATGGCGTCCAGTGG